AACCCCCACTCTATCCCAAATACAAACAATCAAATCAAATGAGGACATGTCATTAACTGTATTTGATTTAAATACGTTATAGAATCTGTTAAATACTTTTATTAGTGTGATTACACTGTGCTCGTTTTAGTATAAATATCACCGATGCATTATGTTTGCCTTAGAATATTGAAATTGAAACTGAAATGTCAATGAAAATAATTGTACATGTATATAATATCTTTCCGTTTTGTCTAGAAAATGACCGCTTCGCTGGCGTTTGATTTTTCAAGACTACGAAATTGCTACCTTGATTATCTTTTATACAGTTTTTCTTCGTTATACTCAAGTTATATAAACATGATAGGTTAGAGAGTTGAGAAAAAATCAATAGACTTTTTTACCCCCGTTTACTCTGTTGTTCCAAAAATGTCCGTTGCGTATTTTAGTTATACCCGATGAATTGTGGGTAACTTCTGTACATGTCTGGGAAAACCAACTTTCATTTTTGCATCAAAAGCTAATGTGAATATGCATTTTCTAGCATAATTGTTGTTAGAGGGTTGGTTAAAGTGTAAGTTATTGTTATTTTAGTCATAATATTGTGATTTGTGGGGAAATTTGTATACATTTTTTTTGGACACCAAATTACCCGTCAGACCTCAGTGTAGCCCCTTTAACCTAAGGGCTTTTATCTGCACAAACTTGGTAGACACCCATAAGATGTTTCATGCTAAACATCTAAGCTCTAGCTCATTGGGCTTTTCAAAAGAAGATTTTTTTTTAGTTTTTACTATACACATATAGTTAAAAACAATGACACCCCTGGGGCCGGGCCAGGGCTTTTATTTGAACAAACTTTGTAGACACTTACTAGAAGATGTTTCATGCTTAATATCTAAACTCTAGCTATTTGGGTTTTTTCAAAAAAGATTTTAAGTTTTTGCTATACACATATAAAGAAAATCAATGACCCCCGGGGCGGGCCAATTTTGACCCCAGGTCTTTTATTTGAACAAACTTTGTAGACACTCACTAAAAGATGTTTCATGCTTAATATCTTAACTCTAGCTATTTGGGTTTTTTCAAAGAAGATTTTTTAAGTTTTTGCTATACACATATAAGGAAAATCAATGACCCCCGGGGCGGTGCCAATTTCGACCCCAGGGCTTTTATTTGAACAAACTTGGTAGACACCTATTAGAACATGTTTGATGCTAAATATCTTAGCCATAGCTCTTTGAGTTCTTTAAAAGAAGATTTTTTAAGTTTTCACTATATGCATATAGGGAAAATCAATGACCCCCCGGGGCGGGGCCAATTTTGACCCCAGGGCTTTTATTTGAACAAACTTGGTAGACACTCACTAGAAGATGTTTCATGCCAAATATCTAAGCTCTAACTCATTTGGTTCTTTAATAGAAGATATTTTAAGTTTTTTCTTTCGGTTGCCATGGCAACCAGAGTTCTGCATGGAATTAAATTCTTTGAACAATTTTTAAAGGTGACCACCAAAGGAACATTCCTGTGAAGTTTGGATGAAATTGGCTTAGTGGTTTATGAGGAGATGTCATTTAAAGTAAAAGTTTACGGACGGACGACGGACGAACGGAAGACGGACGGACGACGGACGGACGAAAAGCGATCACAAAAGCTCACCCTGTCACTTTGTGACAGGTGAGCTAAAAATACATTGCTGAGTAAAACTGAAATACAGAGAAATTATCTTATCTTGTTATAAAACAATAAGGTAATATGTACAATCAATTTAAAACTTTTTCACCTCTTTGTCACAAAATAACCTAGATTACCAATTATTCAATTTTCTAACCGGTTTTCTGCTAAAAAATGACCGTATCCATTTTAAAGGATAATTAACAGCAGTTTTTTTAGTCAACCCTAAATATACATGGTATTTTCTATCTAAATCAATACAAATTTTTCCATCTACGACAGACTTAGAATCTACAAGAAAATACAATTGACAAATTAATTTTTATTGATGTACATCTATACATCTGTGCACCGAACATACAAAGAGGAGACTAACCTCGACAGCTTGTTGAGGTTCATTTGCAACGACTCTTTTCGGTTTATTTGGTATGCACTTGATGACCCTGTCTGTGAGGGCAGACACATTACATCGATTTCTTCCAATGTAAATTACGTAGTCATGCTGACTTAGACCTCTTGTCAGACCTTCTCCCTATGCAATACAAAAAATATAATATTATATGATAAAAGTTTTATGTTGAGGACTATATATAGTTTTTCGGTTATCTCCGCAGTCAACACGTGTTTTTGGAGCATCGTGATGTCAACAATCATAAGCCAATAAGAATGGCACTTGTATGAACTGTATACATTATAATCATATCAATTACATTTATTCTAGAAGGAAAACATTTGAATATTTCATCTTTACCAGTTTGTTATAAGGATTCTTATTAGCCCTTGCAGCTTGGGTTACATATACAAACAACTGTTTTTGTTTTTACATGTCCATACTGGCAAAAAAATCTTTATAACTAAGAATACAAAATTGCCATTTTTAAATATATATTGTACTATTTTGTATTATATTTTCATTTTTTCAATTTTAGGCCATCCTTAAAAAAAAGTTTGTTTGCAGTAACTCGACCCAGAATTTTCAAGGTGGGTAGGTAGGTCGATTTTTTTTTTAATGAACTGTACTCCCAAATAAACATGGAATTTCAAAATGCTGGACAATATATGCTTTGATAATCTGGTAACAATTAATAGATTGATAACTGAATTCTAATTTAATAAGACCTACATTTTATTTCTTCTATTACCTTGAACAGAACGAGTCGGTCGCGTTACTGCAAACAACCATCTTTTTAAAGATGGCCTTATGGTGCCTTATTGCCATACAGTTTGAGACAAAGTGCAGGGATCAAAATTGTGCAGATCATAAACATAAAACAAATTATCCTTTTTCTCTCTCCTACCTTTATTTCTAAATCATCTTCTTCAATATTGAAAACCCTCAAGAATTCCTCGCCATCAAATTTAGTCACAACAGGGTTCGGGTTGTAGATAAACCTGTGGGTAGGTTTTCGAAGTTTCTCTATACCATCCATAGAAAAGTATACAAAAACATGTGTAAGTGTGCTCTGATCCATTGACGTCATCAACGGCAGTATATTTGGCATAGTACACGTCATTTCTTTACCTTCGTCAGCCTCATTTACAACACATTCCTGGAAGTAAAATCATTTTCTAATATCATTGAATGCCTGACATTATTGTTTGTGTACCAAAGTCTCAGAACGTATCTATTACATGAGAACTTAATAAGATAAGATTTTTCAAAAACAACAAACTAAATAAAATTAAAATATACCTTATGTATCGGCAAAAATTTACCTACAAGAACAAGCAAAGAGGGCCATGATGGCCCTGAGTCTCTCACCAAAAACAACTGCTTTTCAAAGTTGGAAATTATCCATTGTCAATATTTTCTGATATCTAATTTGAGCATAGAATATGTTTAAATGCCATGACCTGGGGCATTTAAGCTTAAGCTTAAACGACCCCAATCAAATTATTATGAGCAAACTTGATAAAAGACTACCCAATAATGCTACAAAGTTTGGAGATCATCTATCAATTATTTCAGACAGTATGAAATGTTCAAAGGTTTTTATATTTTTGGCTTAAGTGGCCCCTATAAGGGGCCAATCAAATTAATATGAGCAAACTTGATAAAAGCTTACCTAAGAATGCTACAGACAAAGTTTGGTGATCATCCATCAATTAGTTCTCTCAGTCTGGATATAGATGTTTAAAGGTATTTCTATTTTTAGCTTTAGTGGCCCCTAAAAGGGGCCAATCAAATTAATATGAGCAAACTTGATAAAACACTACCCAAAAATGGTACAGACAAAGTTTGGTGATCATCCATCCATTAGTTCTGTAGAAAAATGTCTACATGTTTTTCTATTTTTAGCCCTAGAGACCCCTAAAAAATTCGATAAAAAAAACTACACAAGAATGCTATAGACAAAGTTTGGTAATCATGCAGCACTTAGTTCTCTAGATATAGATGTTTAAAGGTATTTCTATTTTAAACTATAGTGGCCCCTACAAGGGGCCCCCCTACAAGGGGCCAATCAAATTAATATGAGCAAACTTGATAAAAGACTACACAAGAATGCTACAGACAATGTTTGATGATTATCCATCCATTAGTTCTGTAGAAGAGGTGTCTAAATGTTTTTTCTATTTTTAGCCCTAGAGACCCCTAAAAGGGGCCAATCAAATTGATATGAGCAAATTTGATAAAAGACTACCCAAGAATGCTACAGATAAAGTTTGGTGATTATTTATCAATTAGTTCTGGAGTAGAAGATGTTTAAAGGTTTTTCTATTTTTAGCTCTGTTGACCCCTAAAAAGGGCCAATTGAAATGACATGAGCACATTCAAGTGTGACTGTCACAAGGACGCTACAGACCAAATTTGAAGTAAATCTGCCCAGTGGTTTCAGAGAAGAAGACGCATGACAGTTGACGTATGATGACGGACGCCAGAGTATCCCCCTTTGATACTAATAGCTCACCCAGAGCCTTCGGCTCTGGTGAGCTAAAAAGTATTTAAATAAGACTTTGTATTGTACTTTCTTTACCTCTTCAGTCATTTCTCCAGTTGGTAGTTGAACACCAATTTTTGGATGCTGTACAGTGTCAAGGTTTGTACCGTACACTTTTACCTTGGTCCCCCCACTGTGGACTGTACTTCCTGGAACAATCTTTGACACTGTGGCATCATTTTTATACTCGTAGGGTTCTGTACTGTGGAGTACAGCGCCATCTATTGTCAATGTAACAAAGTCTTTCTTAATGGCACGTTTCCGTCTTCCAGATGAACCCAACAGTAGGGGGCCTTGTGGTGATTTGCACAAAATCACTGTTCTATTTGAGCTGTGAAAGTTAAGGGAAGAAAAATACTTTTTGAGCTATGTAAATGGTACATAATACACAAAATACAATTTAAACTTGTTAATTGTTCTTTTTCTATTCAAAGAAGTAATTCACTAATTTACTTGACAATGATATTTACAATGAGAATTATGTCACTTACCTTAATTGTAATTTCAAATTAGATTTCTAGGATAATGCTTATCTATATACTTTAACACTAAATAAGCAAATGTCAGAAATTTTCCCCCTATTAATTCATTGCAGCAAAAAAAAAATTGCCTCATCCATTTGAGGACATTAATGAAAACATAATATTATACAAAATAAAATATACAGATTCTACAGTTCCTGCTTATAAATCTAAAGGATTAACAGGATTACTATTTTTATACACTTGAAATATGGTCTATGATTTATGATCTAGCTTTTTAAAAGGTTTTTTTTTCTCCTATAGGGGTATAAAACTAAATAGCCTTATCCACAATTTGTAGAATATTTATTTGCACACTGTATCTCGTTAAAACAATTATACCAAAGAGCAAAATTTGCAAGAAAGAACCATGTCTAAAATTTTTAGATAAAACAGAAGGTGCATATACAAAATAATCACCAATTGCAGCTATATAAATTTGTAAGTAACTGTTTTTGTTTCTTATATAAGTCAGATTTATTAAGAATCAAAGGTACATTTTGTTAAAATTCTTTTCAACTATTTTTTTCTTAATTTTTGACTGGGTCAATCACCACTGAAAAGATCATATGGCAAGTTTCAAACTTAACTGGTGGAGGAAGACCCAAGGTGCTATCCGTGCATTATTTCAGACAAGATAGGGCAATTGTGAAGAACTGTCAATGTTTTGCAAGCAAGCCGAATAGCTTTCTCAAGAATCCCAAGTCCCTTAAGGCATTAGAACCAACGGCTGTGAGGGACAAGTGGTTTTTTCAGTTAATGATATTGACCACAAGGCCATTACCTCGGCCCCTTATTTTTTTCAAATATAACAGCTTGAACTAGAGTTATAGAAATTTTTTACTTTTAACCTGCTGAAATTTTGTAATGGATTTGTCCTGCCTTGAATTTGTAGGAGTCCAATCAAAGTTTAAGGGTATTATATTTTCAAAATTCAAAAACTGAACAACCAACAGTATTGAGCCTTGTAAGACTGTAGTACCCAGGGTTCATACAGACATCCAATGACAAAATAAAATATAGCTGTTTTTGAGCACTTTTAAAGCACATTTTCTCGTTTTTCAAGCAAAATTTGTTGCACACTATGTCATTCAATCACTTTCATGCATATCTGCAGCATATTTAAACACTTTTTCAGAGAGTAATCAAATTCAGGGACTTTTAGCACTTTTTTTTTTTTTTTAGCACTTTTTAAGAAAGGGAATCACATTTAAGCACTTTTTAAAACTGTACAAACCCAGTGCACGGAATTTCAGGCTGGACTGGCTCTGTACTGGTGGCAAAGACTAAACAACTACAATTCCAGCAGACTAAGGGTTAAGCTTTAACTGAAACATTACAAAAATACCTTGTCATATTGCACAGTTTGGTGCCAATATACACTGATTTGTTGAGACCGACATTAAAGTTATCTCCCTCTAAGGTGATAATGGTTCCTCCTGAACGTGGTCCATACAACGGTGTAACACTATTCAATACAGGTTTCTGCAACATTAAATAACAGGAAATATTTTGAGATAAAAATTAAATATTTTACAATTCAGTTGACAAATATCACAAAAGCCTAGTCTGAAAACCCAGAATTAAGAATTACTTGTATAATTATATGATATGACTTAAATTAAGCCAATACTCACCCTGTATTCAAATTTCATAGTCTCTGTTTCTGCAGTTCCATCAACCTTATAGTTCAACTTTTCACCTGTGAGGTCACTGACCTCCACCTTGACAGTGAAGCTACCTTCCGTTATAGATGCATGAGTTGAACATGTGATTCTACAAATAGAAAATATTTTCTTTAAGTAATTTAACAAGAGCACCGCTAGGCGGAGCATTATATGCCCGAAAGTACTCTTTCTTTTAGTGAGGAAGACATTGGAATTAAATACAGTATTACCTCCTTCAAAAAGCAATCCTCCTTTATAGCTGAAGAACATTCATGTATATATGCAGTTGCTGTTTTCAAAGCACCACCATCAAGTTGTTATCTTGTAAGTAAAAATGCTAAAACGGATGGACACCAAGACGTCAGGGGTATAAAAGCTGTTAATCCTATAAAATTTTACAGCTGTAGTTCGATTAATACTTGATTTATTGAGCGAAAACTGTTTCCAGTTTAAAGGTGATAGTAATCCCTTGATCTTTGACCTTGTGACCCCAAAATCAATAGCGGTCTTCTACCCAATATGAACAATCATCTTATGAAGTTTGAATACTGTGGGCCAAATGGAACTAAGGTTATGCTCCAGAAACCATTTTCAGTATTAAGCTAATAGTGACCTTGACCTTTGGCCTTGTGACCCCAAAATCAATAGGGGTCTTCTACCCAATATGGACAATCATCCTATGAAGTTTGAAAACTGTGGGTCAAATGGAACTTAAGTTATGCTTCGGAAACCATTTTACGTATTTAGCTAATAGTGACCTTGACCTTTAACCTTGTGACCCTAAAATCAATAGGTTTTTTTTTACCCAATATGGACAATCATCCTATGAAGTTTGAATACTGTGGGCCAAATGGAACTTAAGTTATGCTCCGGAAACCATTTTCAGTATTTCGCTAATAGTGACCTTGACCTTTGACCTTGTGACCCCAAAATCAATAGGGGTCTTCTACCCAATATGGGCAATCATCCTATTAAGTTTGAATACTGTGGGCTAAATGGAACTTAAGTTATGGTCCGAAAACCATTTTCAGTATTAAGCTAATAGTGACCTTGACCTTTGACCTTGTGACCCCAAAATCAATAGGGGTCTTCTACTTAATATGGACAATCATCCTATGAAGTTTGAATACTGTGGGTCAAATGGAACTTAAGTTATGCTCCGGAAACCATTTTCAGTATTAAGCTAATAGTGACCTTGACCTTTGACCTTGTGACCCCAAAATCAATAGGAGTCTTCTATCCAATATGGGCAATCATCCTTTGAAGTTTGAATACTGTGGGTCAAATAGAACTTAAGTTATGCTCCGGAAACCATTTTCAGTATTTAGCTTATAGTGACCTTGACCTTTGACCTTGTGACCCCAAAATCAATAGGGGTCTTCTACCCAATATGGGCAATCATCCTATGAAGTTTGAATACTGTGGGCCAAATGGAACTTAAGTTATGCTCCGGAAACCAAATTGCTAACAGACGGACGGACGGACGTACGGACGGACGGACGGACGGACGGACAGACGGACGCCAGGGGGTATAACATAATATGCCCGAAATTCTTTCGGGCATATAATAAAATGAGTCTTCTGTTTGCAACTAGAGCATGGTCTGCACTGTTAGCTATGCAACTAGAGCATGGTCTACACTAATAGCTACAGGAACTATCCATGTAACTAGAGCATGGTCTGCACTGTTAGCTATGCAACTAGAGCATGGTGTACACTTTTAGCTATGGAACTAGAGCATGGTGTACACTGTTAGCTATGCAACTAGAGCATGGTGTACACTGTTAGCTATGCAACTAGAGCATGGTCTGCACTGTTAGCTATGCAACTAGAGCATGGTCTACACTGATAGCTACAGGAACTATCCATGTGGCTAGAGCATGGTCTACACTGTTAGCTATGCAACTAGTGCATGGTGTACACTGTTAGCTATGCAACAAGAGCATGATCTGCACTGTTAGCTATGCAACTAGAGCATGGTCTACACTGTTAGCTATGCAACTAGAGCATGGTCTACACTGTTAGCTATGCAACAAGAGCATGATCTGCACTGTTAGCTATGCAACTAGAGCATGGTCTACACTGTTAGCCATGCAACTAGAGCATGGTCTACACTGTTAGCTATGCAACTAGAGCATGGTCTGCACTGTTAGCTATGCAACTAGAGCATGGTCTGCACTGTTAGCTATGCAACTAGAGCATGGTCTGCACTGTTAGCTATGCAACTAGAGCATGGTCTGCACTGTTAGCTATGCAACTAGAGCATGGTCTGCACTGCTGGCTACATGAACTATCCATATGGCTAGAGCATGGTCTGCACTGTTAGCTATGCAACTAGAGCATGGTGTACACTGTTAGCTTTGGAACTAAAGCATGGTCTACACTGTTAGCTATGCAACTAGAGCATGGTGTACACTGTTAGCTATGCAACTAGAGCATGGTGTACACTGTTAGCTATGCAACTAGAGCATGGTCTGCACTGTTAGCTATGCAACTAGAGCATGGTCTGCACTGTTATCTATGCAACTAGAGCATGGTCTGCACTGTTAGCTATGCAACTAGAGCATGGTCTGCACTGCTGGCTACATGAACTATCCATGTGGCTAGAGCATGGTCTGCACTGTTAGCTATGCAACTAGTGCATGGTCTGCACTGTTAGGAACTGTATACTGCACTTTGTCTAAATGAGATGTAAACACATATGAAGTTTTAGATTGATAACTGAAATAATTTTAGTTTGATGATCATACAAAATGTCAGTGCCAAATCTATATAATCACACCATTGACAACAATGCACATGCTTTTAACATAAAGGGTTATTAAATATAAATATAACAACATATTTGTTTACTTAATTTTTACGAATCAAAATAAAACTAATTAACACAACATGACATTAACTGCTAATAATAACAGCTCCTTCCATAGGCCAAAATAAAAAGCATTCCATAAGAGACAACGCCAATCACCGGCGTCGCCAATAACACAATGTACAAATAAATTAATCAAAATATGAACATACTCTGTGTTGCTCAAGCTCTCTGATAACGGTGAACATTTATTGGTACTGTCACCAATGGTCACTACAGGAACTTTGTATCCAAAATTGTCTCCCTTTACAGTGAGCAGAGTGCCTCCATCAGTAGGTCCTGACAATGGATAAATCTGAAATGTAGATTGTTAAGTTATTTAAAAACAAAACAGTCAGCACTGTAAGAATAGACTTCAATGCATAGTCTCACACAGATTTGTGCAACAACAAATAGAATTACCTCTTAATGCAATCCATATCCCTACCAATGTCCATGATGACACCAGTACTGGTTAGTTCCAGGAAGCAGACTCAACAGTGATTAATATAAGTTGTAAGAACTTGTTTCGCAATCTAGCTTAAATAAATATGTTTAAATCAATGACTTTCTTTAAAACAGGTATAGATTACCTCTGGTTGTGCCAATTTACTATACCAAACAGAACATTGAAGTAAAGTAAAAGGCATAGATTATAAAATAATTATATTAATGTCATATTCTATAGAGTTGCATAACTTGGCCTGCTGAGCTTGCTTGCAGCCTTTCATGCATACACATGCACATATTGTAAGTTTCAAGTATATATCTGTTCTGGTTTCAGAGATTATCTAAAGCAAATCTAAACTAAAATAATTATCTGGTAAATTTATAAAGGGATATTCATATATCATCAACAAGAGTACCTGTGACTTTTTGCCCATGACCTTCACCACAGGAGCCTGAATTTTGCAACTGACACTTCACCTCACAATGATTAAACAAGCCAAGCCAAGTTATATCTAAATCTCTCAATGCATGAAAAGGTTTTGCTAAGGGCAAGAGTTTTCCTCTGATCTCTAAATGTGGCCTTGACCGTTGACCTAGAAGCCTTGTTCATGTGTGTGACACTATGTCTCATGATGCTAAACGTTTCTATTAAGTAATGCTACAATCCATACATTCATGTTGAAGATATGCTCAACATATAATTCAGGACATTTCATCTTTTTGGGTGACCTTGACTTTGTATATACTGTAACCCAATTTATATTCGCGAATACAAATTTTTGCCTTTTGCTGGTCGGTCATATTCCCTAATATTAATTTCCGCGTTTTCTCGATTTCCGAAAAAAAAAAATTCGCGGATTGGAAAGTCCGATGGGGCCGTAAAATCCATTAGCCAACTATTAATCTTCAATAATTGAGGTCATTATTGCTGTCATAAATGGGATTAACAATACGCTAGTCTTATATTGTATTGGTAAGTGAAGTGTGATCACAATTCAGCAAAACATTTTATCTATATATGTACATGTACGCATCGTTCGTCTTCATTTCTAAACATGTCGTTAAAAGGGTGGTTGATAAAAAATAAACCCTCAGAATGCAGTGGTAACTGGACTATGGAATACAGTTTATCTAGAAAAGTCTTTAAGAAATTCAATTTAAGCGTTTCATAAAAAAATACCCTCTCCAATCAGGGATCGAACCAACAACAAGAAAATTATGTTATATGAGTCCGCAATCTAACCAACTGAGCTATACAGGCTGTTAAGTTTGTCGGGTAAAAATCGATACTAGTATGAAACCATTTTGTATTTCACTGTTTGTAATTATGTACACCCTATCCCTTATGTGATGCTCAATAGGTTTATACCACCTTTGTCTTAACAATTCACTCAAACAATTATTTTATAGGATCCAGAAAACAATAGCCTTATGTGATGCTCGATACTTTTCCCACTTTTGTCATACGATTTATTCAAACATTTATTTTATGTTTGAATCCAAACAGGTCGAGGTTTCTGGACTTGAGGACAAAAGGCAAATTATTTCTTTTGATATTTATAAAATAGTAGTAGTTTACTTAGTTTGTGTTTTTATTGCTTTATGAGAATATTCATAACAATTCATTACTTCCTAACAGGTGCCCGTAAAATTCGAATATATCCGGTCAAGTAGCTTTGCATGAACAATGTCTAACATAAAAATTTCTCTCCAATTTATTCGCGAAATCGTGCGGACTTATTCGCGCAAACAGATATTTGCGCTTCGTGGCCATCCGCGAATAAAGCGAATATTAATTGGTCGCGAATATTCGTTGGGTTACAGTATTGACCTGGATTATACTGGCTACCACTCAGTCTCATAATTGTGTATGTTTGTGATTTAACCCTTCAATTTAAGTCAATCAGTCTTCTTACACAAATTTCAATATTATTAGCTCACCTTTGACCTCTTATGTGTGACCTTATGTGTGACATTGACCTTAATCATAGGGACTTTAATTTGGTGTGATGCTCTGCCTCAAGATGGTGAACATTTGTGCTAAGTTACATCAAAATCCTTTCATCCAGTTCACTATGGGTAATCTCATTGTACATTCAAATTTTTTTTTAATTGATGCATATAAAAATCAAAGATGGCTAATTACACTTTCTGGTTATCAACAAGTAAATTATTAAGTATTTCTAAAATGATAATGAATCATAGTTTCTGCATCAATCCTTATTTCATAGCCACTTACACTTACAATCAATACACAGTGAATCTTTTTTCCTACATACTTGTATATCCACTTAAATAACACAAGTATATATATTTGATGTGCAGTTAATGGTATGACAATGTTTATGGTAAACTGTCACATTAGCAATTATAGTTTATTAATAATTCATTAGGCAGACAAAAACTTTCAACCTTATTTTCCCATCCTTTTGGATTAGCTGCTTTGGAATTTGTATCATGGTAAGGTAAATTGATAGGGACAAAATTCACCACAACAGCTTAATTGTAAATTTTGATTTATTATAAAAAAAACTTTTTAGAACGGGACCACCAGAGCGGTGTAATACATGTATAAGCTTGACTGTAAATTTGTTTGAGTAATCAAAAATAACCTTTCAATTAGGGTAAAGACCCAATCAAGAAACTTGACTGAAAAATGTTTTATATTTAATATCCTTATGATACTAAATGACCTCCAAGTTGGAGGTATTTTTTACCCTAAATGCATGATTCATAAAACTTCTATAGAGGTAGACTAGGCAATGCTATATGCCAAATATACAAGCATAGTATTTATCCACAAAAATATAATTTGTTTAGACTTATATCTTAGTCTAGTTAAAGCAAGTTACTCCCGGGGCAGGGCCAATTTTGACCTGAGGGTTATGATAAATATGAGCAGCGTCACGACAAAACCAACATAGTGCGTTTTCGACCAGCATGGATCCAGACCAGCCTGCGCATCCGCGCAGTCTGATCAGGATCCATGCTGTTCGCTTACCAACACTATTACAAGTAGAGAAATTGATAGTGAACAGCATGGATCCTGATCAGACTGCGCGGACGCGCATGCTGGTCTGGATTCAGGCTGGTCGCAAATGCCCTATGTTGGTTTTGTCGTGACGCGGCTCATATAACTTTTGTAGAAATCTACAAACTGATTCCACATGCTTAATATCTCAGCTCTTGGCTTTGAAGTATCACATAATTAAACAAATGTGTTTTCTAATTTTGACCCCAGTGGCATGATTAGTATCAATTTTGTAGACATTCACAAGGTAATGCTACATTGTACATGCTACATATCATAGGTCTTTTTGTCATTGTAATTTCACAAAATAAGACTGAAATTAGATTTCTCATACAAGACTATGTCAACTAAGTGACTTCCTGAGATAGATGTACGGACAACCAGGTTCATGATATTATATGCCGAAATTAAAACCACACAAAAAATATTTTTCAATTTCATCCTCAGTACATTTCTTTATTATCTATATGATATTTTCCTGGTTTAAGGACCCCAATTGATTTATGTAAAAGACTTTCAAATATTATGTTTTAAGGCCTCTAGACATCAACAGAGCTCCTTTTAAGTATAGAATATTAAAAGATCTTAAACTAACAGAGAAAATTACTACAATTAGAATAATAGAATGCTAAAACGCAGATTGGTTTTGGCCGTCTATAATTACAGGTTCACAAATACTTACTGATGTAATAATTGGTTCACAAGTTAGTGGTGAAAACTCAACATTCGGATCCACACACTCGTCCCGTTTACTACAATGATTGCCACACCAACCGCAACCCTGCGGGTCCCGGGAGCTCACGCAGCTTGAACATTTATCATACACAGCACAGGAGTTGAGTGGGAACCGAGAAATCTAAAAAGAGACAAATTTAGCGTATTATTAATAATGACTCTCACAGCACAGATAACTTACATATCTTATATAAGATATGGGCTAAGATTCTTATATAAACAGTACAGATGCCTGTCAAGTCTGACTCTGGATACATTCTGAGCAGAACATACAACGTTAATTTGGAAAAATTTTCCTTCAAACTCTGAACCAACCTTGAGTCCAGGGTGGCAGGTTACAAAGAAATCATCTAAGCTCAAACTCAGATCTCAAGTATTTGATTTGTCAGAAACTGTCACTGAATGCTCACTGAACTGAGATTTGAGACAGAACTCAGAAAAATGACTGGTCTTTTTCTAATCAATCTCAATGGTCACACTTTAAACCTATTCAATGCCTTGTTTACTTTTTACTTCTTTTTTTTTTTTTTTTTTTTTTGTTTGGTTGGGTTTTTGTACACCAGAACATCAACTTTCCAACTTATTGGTGGAGAAAAACCTCAGATACCCCTTTGTGTATTATATCAGGAATGACGTGGCACCTGAGTAGAACCATTAATATTCCATTTAGTGAGCTGGATGGCTTCCTCACATAAAAAAATCTGAAGTCCTTGCTGGAATTTAAACCTACATTGGTGACAGGCAAGTGGCTTGAAGTCAACAAACTAAACAACATGGTCACTGACACCTCCCAATGCCAAATGTTGGTCTTTTTCTTCCCTCTCATTTACAAAAATATTGCTACAACTAAAGCTAGCATGCATTATACCAAAACATGAACTGACCTACTTATAATCCAGAAAATTTAAGATTATATAGCCATATCCAGATCAATGCTCCCCCATCTCCGAAAGAGTGTGCAACACCTTGAACACTCAATTAAACTGAGTATGCAATATTTTCAACTTTACCATTTTGGGCTTTCTTAAGAGATTTTATTTTTTACATCTTTTTAAAATAACTAATGTTTAACATAAAACAAAGAAAGTGACAGACACTTAACCATTTCATATGAAAGCCTTTCAAGAAAGGTCCTCACACATCAAATACATGTACATTTATCAAAAATATCAACACATGAAATAATTGTACATTACATTACAACACTTGTACATTAATCCAAGATATTTGGTCATCAATTAAGATGCTGTAAGACTGTTTGTTTGTTTGTTTGACTGGCGCCCAAACACAATTTAGGTCATTTAGTGCCAAAACAGGCAGTGATTTTGACTAACCTCAAGTGTTACAAACTTAAAGCAACGCCAGCGGTCAAAAATCACCTCACCTGCTGGAGCTAAGAGATGCATAGACCCCAGTAATTCAATTAAACCCATTCAGTCGCCTCTTATGATCACGCAGGGTTAAACAGTGGATGCAATTTTGATGCCACAACCCATAAAGGCAATCCCTCAGCCACTATGGGCAAGAGGCTGTAAGAAACTGTATAGAAGTGTGACAGATAAATCAATGGAACAACAAACCACCAATTGCATACTTGACTTCAACATCTTTGTGGAGCAGTAAAATGGATAGTGGCAATGGGTTAAACAAGTAAATGGCCCACCTTATTGCCAGACATAGCATAGACATACTCCTCTTTTGCATCCATCCTCATATCCTGGAGAATTGGCCCGTCACTTAGTTTATACTGCATATAAGGTTTGTTACTCTCACAAAAATCTGCCTTTAGACTTGTCTGCAATAAAGAAAATAACATCAAACACTCAAAACAGTTCCTTTTATTGTGATGTAACAGAAAAAAAGAAATATAGCTGACATATTGTTGAAGTTTCTTTTCTCTTCTAGCTTATTTTTTATTCAATTCTGAGCATAAATCTGAATTTAATGTTATTAAGATAATGAAATCATTAACTCAAAAAGTGAAATATAATTAATATTTTCATCCGTCTAAGTTCTAACACTACTGAGATTAATACATTTAACACAACACACTACAACTTTAAGGGACTCCAAAGAGCTAATTTAAGGAATGAACCATTTTTTTGGCATTTTATGAGGAATCTGATAAGGTGTGTGCAAAAATTTCAGATCATTTGCTTACTCTATGCTAAAAACTTTATTTGTTAAAATGACTCAAATGTGGAAAGATTTAAAAACTTTTAACTCACATCTTTCCATTTTACATGGTTAGTGTCCAAGTTGATTTATATGAAAGAAATGTAGACAATGGAGTTCCTTTAAGCTAATGCATTCTGAAGTCAATTGTGCTGATTTTTTTCTAAGAAAATGCTGATTTTATTAAGACAAGATCTGCAGTAAAAAAATCTTGGCGCACAAACAAAATATTATAATGTCATCTGAATCATAGCCAGTGTCCACATTATAGTATAAATCACATGGCAACTTAATTTCAAATTTACTAGATATGGAAGACTTTAATATGAAAACTTTTTGCATATCATTAAGGGCTATAAAATATTTTATTCAATAAATTCCTCATTAATGAAACAATATTTCAATAATTTTAGATTTTGGCTGCAAGCAAACACTAATATAGCAGATTCTAATCTATGAAATATTGTTTGTTCTTTTCTAAAATCCATGGGTGAAAGTTGGAAATTTTAAAAATCCTGAAAATACTGAATTTAGCAGTTTTTCTATATAGTTTTACATAGGAAATAGAAGGCTTTCAGAAGACTGAGAATCCTGAACTTCAGGAATAATCCTGAAAACTTTCACCCATGTTAAATCTGACACCATCACATAACAACTAAAGCAAACACCACCGCATTGCAACATGATAGAAAAATAGTAATTTTAGATAAATATTAATCACAAAACAACTAAAGCAAACACCACCACATTGCAACATGTTATAAAAATAATAATTCTAGATAAATATTAAAGCAAATAAAATCTAGCAAGCATCTGATAAACATAAACTACTTCTATGAGTTATAATAATGGCACCTTAGTGGGGTAACGAGTTAACTTCTTATATAATTTAATTAGAGATAACCAATTTCTCTACTAAGATGACATTACATTGGTACTCCATTATAAAGCTCATATCAAAGCCCCGCAGGGTCTCAACCTGCGAAATAAACAGGGTTTTGAAATATAACAGTCACCTGTTGATAAATTGTTTAGGGCCTGGGATATCAAAGATATGAACAGGATTTTGACACATTTCTTTACATAATGCTCAGCCATTGATAGATTGTTCAGTACCTGCGATATAAAAGATATTTTTTAAAATGGGGGTTTTGATACATTATGCTCATCTAGCTGTTGATGACCTTTTCCCACAGGCAGTTGATTCCCTGTGCTAATGAGGTTAGCTTTATATAGGGATGTAGTATAATGTACAACTGAACTACATGTACATACTTCTTTTCAACATTTTTTTAATCATGGCTATTTTTTTTTTTTTATTTGGAAATTTTAACTTGGTAATCATATCAAAATAACAAAAATTTCACAAACCTTTTCAAACACTTTTTAATTTACCTTTTTTTACATGAAACATAAAGTCATGTTTTACATAAAAATGCCATGCATGCCTAGAAAAGTTGAACTTGGTGGTGAATTCACACATTTTAGGGCTAAATTTGGATTTTCCAACAGTTTCTTTTTAGGAAGTTTAGAAATACTGAACAATTGCAACAAAAAAATAAGTGTTTATCATAAGTGCAGTGACAGTGACATCATCGCCTTACTGGTAGTCATATCATTTTTTTTTAGGGGGGGGGGGAAGGTTTGTAATAAGAGTGGTGATGACAAACACTTTTACAAACCTCAAAGTATGAGTATCACAAACTATATTTTATATTTAAAGTATCATTAGTTTACAAATACTGAAAATCTGTAACATGTACTGTATGTTAGAATAAAATAATAACATGACTCACGCACTCAAAATAATATGAAAATATTAAAATATTTAAAAAACAACAACACGCAAACACAAACAAATCACATTTAAACAAAGCATTTCACATTTGAATCATAGGTGAAATTTTTTTTAGGTCATATTAAAAATGCCATTGAAACATTGTGATAATTTGATTATTTTTTTTATTCTTCTATAATAGTTTTAAAGCATGTTTTATACTTCAAATGTTAGCCTAAATATGTTTTGAATGTTAAAAACTTTTAATTGATAGTAACTGTCAGGAATAGATTTACCTGGAGACCACCTGGTCTAACCCCCAAGTGACCAAGTCCAGAATTGCATTCAGTAGTACAAAATTGTAAACAAAAGCAAATTAAGCGTGCATACAAAAATATTAGTATACATAAACTTTTGAAATCCCATCAATTTATTAGTGAAATAAAAAATACAAAAATACTAACAGATGTTTCATTTCCAACTAGGCTCTGAAATAATGAAGGAATAATCCAAGACTGAAATTAATCTTAATTAAAAATAATATTCTGTATAAAGATTTGAAAATTAATTTAATAGGCAACCAATATTCTATAAGACCACATATCGGTCTTAATGGGGAACCAATATTCTATGAAACCATATATTAGTTTTAATTGGTAACCAATATTCCATAAGACTGCATATCAGTCTTAATGGGCAACCAATATTTCATAAGACAGTAAATCAATCTTAATGGGCTACCAATATTCTATAAAGGTGCATATCAGTCTTAATTGGGAACCAATATTCTTTAAGAACACAAATCAGTCTTAAAGGGGAAGCAATATTCCATAAGACTGCATATTACTAATTAGTCTTAATGGGCAACCAATATTTTATAGGACCGCATATCAGTCTTAACGGGCAACCCATATTCTATAAGACTGCATGTAAGTATAAATGGGCAACTTATATTCCATAAGACTGCATATCAGTCTTAATGGGCAACCAATATTCTATAAGACTAAAAATATATATTATATTGAGCAACCAGAATTCTATGAGACCGCAAATTGATCTTTATGAGCAACTGATATTCTGTAAGACCACAAAAATGGGAAATCAATTTTATTTTTAATAGACTGTAGAATCCTTTTAATTGGCAACTGATATTTAAGACCATATATCAATCTTTATAGGCAACCAATATTCTATGAGACCGCATATCAATCTTAATGGGTGACCAATATTCTGTTAGACCGCCTACCAGTCTTAATGGGCAACCAATATTCTATAGGACCACATATTAGTGTAAATGCAACTATTATCCTAAAAATATAAACAAGAGGGCCATGATGGCCCTAGATCGCTCACCTGAATTATCAAACTCATCCAAACAATTACCTAGACAAGCATTCTGACCAAGTCTCATGACAGGTGAGTCAAAAATGTGACCACTACAGTGTTAACAAGGATTATCCATATTTGAGCAGTGCGACCTAGTTTTTTACCCAGGTGACACATATTCAAACTTGACCTAGAAATCATCAAAACAAACTTTCAGACCAATTTCCAGGATACTTGGATCAAAACAGTAGCAACTAGAGTGTTAACAAGATTTTTCTATTTTTAGCTCCGGTGACCTAGTTTCACATGCGATTTCGAACTAATCCAAGCAATTACATAGACAAGCATCCTGACCAAGTTTGATGATAATCGAGTCGAAAATGTGACCACTAGAATGTTAACAAGGTTTTTCCATATTTGGGCGGTGTGACCTAGTTTTTCATCCAAGATGACCCATGTTTGATCTTGACTTAGAAATCATCAAAAAAAACTTTCAGACCAATTAACAGAATATTTGGATCACAACAGTAGCCACTAGAGTGTTAACAAGATTTTTCTATTTTTAGCTCATGTGACCTAGTTTTTCATCCGAGATGTCCCATGTTCGATTTATTCCAAGCAATGACCTATTCAAGTTTCCTGACCAAGTTTGATGACAATTGAGTCAAAATTGTGACCACTAGAGTGTTAACAAGGTTTTTCTATTTTTAGCTCCTGTGACCTAGTTTTTCATCCGAGATGACCCATGTTCGAACTCATCCGAGCTATCACCTAGACAAGCATCTTGATCAAGTTTGATGATGATTGATGCAAAAATGTGACCGCTAAAGTGTTAACAAGGTTTTTCTATTTATAGCTCCGGTGACCTAGTTTTTCATCCGAGATGACCCATATTCGAACTCATCTGAGTTATTATCTAAACAAGCATCCTGACAAAGTTTGATGATGATTGGGTCAAAAATGTGACCACTAGAGTGTTCACAAGGTTTTTCTATTTTTAGCTCCTGTGACCTAGTTTTTCATCAGAGATGACCCATGTTCGAACTCATCCAAGCAATTGACTAGACAAGCATTCTGACCAAGTTTGATGATGATTGGTTCAAAAATGTGACCACTAGAGTGTTCACAAGGTTTTTCTATTTATAGCTCCTGTGACCTACTTTTTCATCCGAGATGACCCATGTTCGAACTCATCCGAGCTATCACCTAGACAAACATCCTGACCAAGTTTGATGATGATTGGGTCAAAAATGTGACCTCTAGAGTGTTCACAAGGTTTTTCTATTTTTAGCTCTTGTGACCTAGTTTTTCATCCGAGATGACCCATGTTCGAACTCATCCGAGCTTTCAACTAGATAAGCATCCTGACCAAGTTTGATGATGATTGAGGCAAAAATGCGACCGCTAGAGTGTTCACAAGTAATTGTGGACGGCCGGACGGACGACGGACGACGGACGACGGACGACGGACGACGGACGACGGACATTCACCGATCCTAAAAGCTCACCCTGAGCAAGCTCAGGTGAGCTAAAAAAAACTTATACATCAAAACAACATTAAAGGCAAAGTTCCAGCTTAACTGGTGGAGTAAGATGGGCACCACAGTAGAATCACAGATGTTCCGATGCGCAGGCTGGTCTGGATCAATGCTGGTCTCAAACCCATTATGTTGGTTTTGTCATGGCGCGGCTCAAGTGACGCATTAGATTCAATGTCTGAGATCAACTGATATGGAGAAATTATGTCTCTCCCAAGAATTGAATCAGTTACCCCTTCAATACTAATAGATGCTCTCAAAATTATGCTAAGAGGCAGGTCAAAATGACTATGAAGCCATTCATTGATACTTCAGTTTAACCATTTAAACATAACCTTCATCATTGATACACATGTAAATTATAATGTTATTCACTTACATCATGGAAACATGTTCAACATCAATGAAAACATAACTTAAACATTAAAATAATAATGAAGGTCGCTAGGCCCCAGCTTATAATTTATTACAAAATATTTGTACCATAAACCTTTCATGAGTATACAACAACGCAAAAAGAAATATATATTTATTTAATGTCTAGCATACTGACGTAACAAGAGCTGTCACAAAGACAGCGAAGCTCAACTAATAAAATACTGGACGCAGTAAGGAAGACAAAACTATGAAAGAAAAATCAATTATGATATAAATATATTTCTTCTTATGACAAGGAGTTATATAGTTGTTAACATAAATTCCAAGTTCAATGGGGAATAATTCTGGTAATAGTCACAATAGAGTTATGGACCTTGTCACAAAACATGAGTGTAATAATAAATTTGAAGTTTGAAAAATTATACCTTAAAAAGTAAAGAAGTTATTTCTTAAAGAAAAATCTAGAAATATTGCTTCAACCTTGTCACATAAGAACTGGTCGATGAAAAAGAATACAGTCGGCATCGTACTTGCGACCACCTTTATCAAGCAACTTTTTTATTAAGCGGCCGCATAAAATCCCTCCCGATGAGATTATACAAGTTAATTCCATTAAACGACGATTCTATATCGCGGCCAGCGGCCACTAAATATCAGCCCAAATGTACAAAATTAAGTGTTAAAGTATCTATTAAACGGCCGTGACAAACAATCATCCCTACGGGCATTCTCACCTGTGTAATCAGCGAGTAGGTTTGATGTGTACAAGCAAACAAACAAATATGATGCTTTATAAAATACATTTATTACCCCATTAAATATGATACTTCGACAAAATAAAAAGAAAAAAATCCTAGATCTAAAAACTTTATTGAATTTTAAATCTGGGTAGTGTGAAAACTAATTGCTGAAAAAATCAAGAAGTTTGAAACTCATTGCATGAAAAATTATCTTGGGCTCTGGCTGATGATTCGAAAGTATGTTCAGCAGGAGATGTGTATGAACGTATTAACAATATAAGACAACATGCTTTGTTTCATGGTCAAAATGACCTGTTGATAGTATTATGAGTGTAGATCACATTTGTACACAAATTTCTACTAAAAAAAAAACAAACACATATTGATGACTTTTTTTTAAACAAGAGGGCCATGATGGCCCTGAGGTCGCTCACCTGTATATAGGCCCCCCCAACCCCCCCCCCACGTTGCAGGGCCAATTTAACCCAAGGGCTTTTATTTGCACAAACTTGGTAGACACCCATAAGAAGATGTTTCATGCTAAACATCTAAGCTCTAGCTCATTGGGCTTTTTAAAAGAAGATTTTTTTAGCTTAGGAATTAATCCGTGGCTCTTCCATGGGCATATTCCGTGAATATATGACCGGGGTATAACTTTGCCTGTTGAGCTTGTTTGCAGCCTTTCATACAGATATATTGTAAGTTTCAAGTATATATCTGTTCTTGTTTCAGAGATATAAACTAAAAAAATCATCAGGTAAATTTATAAAGGGATATTCATATATCAATTATAAAAGAACCATTGTCATAAAATACTACTGCAACAAATTTTCATTTGTTTTATCATGAACATATAGTTAAAAACAATGACACCCCTGGGGCCGGGCCAATTTTGACCCCAGGGCTTTTATTTGAACAAACTTTGTAGACACTCACTAACAGATGTTTCATGCTTAATATCTAAACTCTAGCTCTTTGGGTTTTTTCAAAGAAGATTTTTTAAGTTTTTACTATATGCATATAGGGAAAATCAATGACCCCCTGGGGCGGGGCCAATTTTGACCCCAGGGCTTTTATTTGAACAAACTTGGTAGAGACCTATTAGAACATGTTTGATGCTCAATATCTTAGCCATAGCTCTTTGAGTTCTTTAAAAGAAGATTTTTTAAGTTTTTACTATATGCATATAGGGAAAATCAATGACCCCCCGGGGCGGGCCCAATTTTGACCCCAGGGCTTTTATTTGAACAAACTTGGTAGACACTTATTAGAACATGTTTCATGCTAAATATCTTAGCTCTAGCTCTTTGGGTTCTTTAAAAGAAGATTTTTTAAGTTTTTACTATATGCATAAAGGGAAAATCAATGACCCCCTGGGGTGGGGCCAATTTTGACCCCAGGGCTTTTATTTGAACAAACTTGGTAGACACTCACTAGAAGATGTTTCATGCCAAATATCTAAGCTCTAGCTCTTATGGTTTTTTAAAAGAAGATACTTAAAGTTTTTTCTTTCGGTTGCCATGGCAACCAGAGTTCTGCATGGAATTAAATTCTTTGAACAATTTTTAAAGGTGACCACCAAAGGAACATTCCTCTGAAGTTTGGATCAAATTGGCTTAGTGGTTTATGAGGAGATGTCATTTAAAGTAAAAGTTTACGGACGGACAACAGACAGACGGACGCCGGCCGGACGCCGGACGAAAAGCAATCACAAAAGCTCACCCTGTCACTTTGTGACAGGTGAGCTAAAAAAGGCATAAATGTAATTATGAAACTGTAATACATACATAATATTGTACAGTTTTTGTTTTTATAAAAAGATGTTATTATATCTATGACTTGTAATATAAAAAGTCTCGAATTTTCCAGAATTCTATTGAGAGACCACTTTATTAAGAGACCACTTTTTGGCAGTCCCTTGAGTGGTCTCTTAATACAATGTCGACTGTATGTATTTGAAGTTTGAGGTAGATACCTTTAAAATTAAAGAAGTTGTAGTATAAAAATAACATTTTTTCAAGTAAAAAAATCTAAGTCAATGGGGAGATAATTCTTGCAATATTGGTGCTAGAGTTATGACCCTTGCCACATAAGATGTTGTTAATGATAAGGAACATACATGTGTAACTATATTTGAAGTATACGGTTGATCTCTTGAGAAATAAAGAAGAAACAGTAAAAAAAAAATTTTCTAAGGAAAGTTCAAGGGGAGATAAATCTGAAACTATTGGTGCTAGAGTTTGAACCTTGTCATATAAGATGTGGTTGATGGTAAGGGCCATATACAGGTATTTGAAGTTTAAAATTGATACCTTAAGAAATGAAAAAGTTATTGTAGAAAATAATATTTTTTAAGGAAAATTCTAGGGTCAAGGGGAAATAAATCTAAAATATTGGTGCTTCAGTTAAGAACCTTTAAACATAAGATGTGGTTGATGATAAGGAACATTTATTTGAAGTTTGACGTTGATACCTTAAGAAATGAAAGTTTTAGGAAAAAAAACTTTTTTTTTCAAGGGGAGATAAATCTTAAGAAATGAAAAAGTTATAGTAAAAAATAATATTTTTTAAGAAAAATATTGGTGCTGGAGATATGAACCTTGTCACATAAGATGTGGTTGAGGATAAGGAACATATATTTGAAGTTTGACGTTGATATTACATATATTTCAAGTTTGAAGTTGATATCTTAAGAAAAACCAAAACTTTAATCTGAAATCTGGACGGGGACGCGAGTAGGACAGCTCGTCATACACTTAGTAAAAGAAGTAAAATATTGATAAAAATATGTTCATTTGCATTGAGCAAAGAAGTAACTTTCCCACTGTCATTTGGTTTACTGTTGTCAAATCTGATGTGTTATGGCGTGTTAGCATTTCTTTTTTTATGCTGTGTTTATATTGTGTAATAATGTACAAAATGGCCCTATCAGTTTAATAATGTACTCTTTAAAAGAAAAAAGATACATGTAATTTAACTTTTCCACATGTCCATACAGTAGCTTTAATCAAAATTCAAACAAAAAGATTCTGCTTATGAGACTAATGTAATGGAATAGGTGTAGGAACAAAAAGCCAATATAATATTACGTGTGATTTTACCTTTATTAATTGGCCATCAGATGTTCCAAGGACTGCTATTGGATGATTACTTTGATTAGTTAGAACCAAGGATGTGATCATTTCGTCAACACATATATCTGCATGTGCAACAAACACCGAATCTATGTCTGTACCTCCAGTCAGCCCACTCTTCAGCTGTTGTTTATCATACCAACACATCTGGTCATTTTTTGTCTGTAAAGATTGAAATATTACAATGTGTAACAGTGCTTTCATTCACTTCCAAAATTTGGAAGTGAATTACAGAAAATTTCTGACATTGGAAGTCATATTTACTATTTATTTATAGTAATGATTTAAATGAAGAAGACTCCCAAACTGCCATTAATGTTGATGATTAATGGAAGCCATGGCTTAATCCTTCCTTTATTAAAGGTTTACAACAACCTTAATTTATCTGAATTAATATGTCAAGCTTTAATTTTGGAATTGGACATGACTCAGAGTTTTGTTAGTTAATGGGCCTTTGAAAATTGATTAAACCTCAATTAACCTCACTTATTGCCCATACAACTGCCATGTTAAAACTTAAACCTGCTTGTATGATGTATAATATCCTTCAACAAACTTCACAGCAGCCAGTTCTGATATGGCTAGAATCACAGATTTATATGTAATTTAGATTTGTGCTAGTTAGTAGTTGTAAATGCTTGTATCTCCTTTGTAAGTTACCACTGTTTCGTACTCAGTTCTCAACTTGCTATTTTTCAGAACACAAGTTATCAAAACTTTTTTACTTGCACAAGAAATGTTTACTTTCATAAGAAATTTTTACTTTCACAAGAAATTTTTGTCTGCAAAAACAGACCTGAAACATGCATTAAATGTACAATATACTACCTTGGCGTATGTGTACATTAGCAATAAGTCATACTACTTTTTATAGTTCTGATATTGAATTTAAATACATATGATATTAATTTATTTGTTTCTGTATGCATGTATTTGAGTAAACTGTAATCATTTGTTCATAATTTGTATTAAAGATAGATACATTGTATAATCAATTTTGCTATCATTCATTCTTATTCCTATAAAAAATAATTTTAATCAGTCTGTGGATTTCTAGACAATATTGTTGATTTTTAAGAAACATCATGTCAATATACTACAATTTTCAGTTTAATTTTGCACTTGTATTCAGCATGATTGCTAGTTTTAAAGCTACACGCCTCCAGATGAGCAAAAAAATTTCAAGAAAATCAATAGTGAGAAAAATGTACTAACATTTTAAGAATTTTAGAGAGGTAAAAACATTCAAGATACAAGGTTAATTTTACATATGTGCGGTAAAAGGCTGATTTTGCGGTATTTCATCGCCATATCTCTTTTACGTTACTAACATAGTAAGGGCTGATTTTGCATATGTTGACCACTTTTTGGTAATTTTCTTGGATTATAAGTGCCAATTGCAATTTGTTAATTACTTTATTTGTTCACCACTCAATATTGTACTTTTAAATACATTTCTAAAATTTTCATGAAAATTGACAATAATCTGGAGGCATGCTGCTTTAAGTAAAGAAATCATCAGATCATCTCAAATCTGCTTACAAAATATGAATCACTTTCAATTTGTAAGTAAACACTCACCGTCCTTGTGATCGTACATGTCTGAGAAGTACCGTGAACCCACCATGGGTATGACCCTACTCCACCATTGTAACAATGAAACTGCAAATAGGAGAAATGGATCCTTGCATCCGACATAGAATATCTACACACAACTGTTCCATAATTGGGATCAGGCTCACTAGATACTACATTTCCAGGATGTCCAAAACTGATGGCTAAATAATCGTTGGTTTCCCCATAATCAATATAGGCGGCTGTCGCTAAAGTGTAATCAAAGGATTCATGTTTACATACAATCACCGATTCTATGTAAGTCCCATAGAATCTATCATCTAAACAAAATTGAATAAGCCTAGTTACGTACTTGGTTTTTGCAAGGTCTGAAGAGATAGGTTGTACTGAGACATAATATCCATAACCGTTTAATTCAAAGCCATAAATATATTTGGTACGGAATTTGGATTGCATGGGCGGATAAACACTTAAGAAACTGTAGTCATCCAATTCTCTATCATTTTCCAAGTATTTAATACTCTTATGTGTTGAATTGTAAACTATTTCCCTTGTTGAGATGGTCATTGGCGTAAATTTTTCTTCTGTTCGGTCATAAGTGGACACTGCTGCATACAACATACGTCTATCCGTGTCTATACCTTTTGGCGGTCTGCCAAAAAAGGCAACTGAAGATACTTTACTGCCAACAAATGAGGCATGATCAGTTACGTTAAGATCATCAGCAATGTTAAAATCCGACAATGAATAAATACTGCATAACCCTTGCTTTATTGTCCCGCATGCTAACAGGTAGCCATGAATCTTATTGATGGCAAGAACATTTATTGTATTTGAAACCTGGGACCTTTGAAATTTACAAGGTGCTGGTTTTCCAAAACATTTATCAGAGTCGAATTCTTTCCCAACAGATTTTGTCTGCTGCTGTGTCAATTTACTATCAAGACGAATCAAAATATTTTCTCCTCCAATATAAAGCATGTGACTTTTATCGTCTATTAATAACTTTGAAAGGTTTCCAGAAGCTGTATATTCTTCTAAAACAAGAGTGTTGCACCCAATTTGACAAATAACTATGAGCACATAGGTGAAAATATAACAAGTTCCTGTTCTAGCCATTGTCATTGCAAATCTTCAAAAAAATTATTGAGAGTTACAGAACTTCTTGTTACGCCATAACACCTTGATAACTAGGAGACACCTTACCAATCCTGCAAAATATCAATGAATTGATGTGATAAAAGTTTGTTTTCATAATAACAGAATAATTGTAAAATATTATATGGAATCATGGAAATATGGAACCCTGGCAATATGTTTATTTCTTTTAAAAGGTAAGAAATAACTTAAACGCTTGTGAATGAACATCTTAACATATATATACGTTTAAACGTGTAACCATGAGGCCCTCATAAAGTTATATCGCCAGATTAGTGGATGATGCACTAATATGTGTATGATGCACAAATTAGCATATTTGATGATGCACCAACTGGTGTTCCAATCTATCCATCACTCCATCTCTGAATACTGCCAACCCCTCAAGTCAGTGTTAAGGAAGGAATAAAGAACATGTCAGATTGTTAGTAAAACCAAAAGGTGACAGAAAAGCACCTTTGAAGATATAATATATATAGCAGTGTGAATAGCAGCACATGCACTTACTATAGATAATATTGCAAGAAATAATCTGAAACCAAATACGTTACTGTTGATGTAGAAAATGGTTATTCTGGCACTTTTGTGAAAATGTCAAATTCTCAATCCAAAATGAAAGTAAAATGGCACAGCATTTTATTTCCTTTTGCTTTTGTAAGGAGTATTTTCATTGGTCCGAGGTTTTAATGTGACCAATGAAAACACTTCATATGAAAACAATCTGCTGCACCATTTTACTTTTATTTTGGATTGATAATTTGACATTTCGGAAAAAAGGTGCGTTATAGTTTCAGGTGATGCATTGATTAAACAATTATTACAAAAAATAATTTAAATTTATCATATTAAAATACGAAATGCAACGAAATATTCATTTATTGTGAAACAAACACAGGGACCCAGCACAGTGTTGGGATTTATTGAGAAAAAAAGTTATTCTAGAAAAAAATATATACTGTTTATCTATATATAAACAAGCGGCTGAACTTGCCAAATCGGCCGAATGTCACTAGTCCAGTATAAGTTAAAATTGCAAAGTCATTTTTAAGTAAATCATATAAAGCAGTAGTCAGACTATTCTCTCCCTTACCAGTTCCTCCCCTGACGCTTCCTCCCTGACTGTTCTCTCTATTTTGGGAGAAACCGTCTGCATATTTGCAAATAGGCAGACAGTTCCTCCCCATTCTTATTTTTGTTATTACATTATTATTAAAATATTTAGATGATAAATAAATGGGTAAGTTTATAATTAATTGATATAAATTAGAAAAAAAAGATTTTATTGAAGTGTTTAGATGTTAGATAAATTGGTAAGATTATTTATTATAAATTGATATAAATTAGAGAGAAAAATACTTTAATGAAGTATTAACTTTAAGATGTTTAATTCAAGTTTCAATTTTGTTAGCATCATGAGCAACAATAAATGGGTAAGTTTATTGTACATTGATATAAATTAAAGAAGAAAATATTTTATTGAAATATTTAGATGTTAAATAAATTGGTAAATTTATTATCAATTGATATAAATTAAATTAGAAATTTTTTATTAGCATATAAGTTAATTATTCTGATTTTTTTATGTATACTTTTTAATGCATTTAGTCATTGAAAATAATTTTCTTGATTAGGATAATCATAAGATATTATTATTATTTTTCTTTTTATAAATAAATGTGACATTTATAAGCAAAATATGATTAATGAATTAAAATTGCTAAATTTTATACTTTTGTATAATGAAAAAAGGAGTTCAATACACACATGTGTTAAGTTTGCTGTAAGTGATTATTGAGGAGTTTATTTATTTATTTATAATCAAGGTGCTGATTAGATTAAAACAGCTGTGAAAAGGTGTTGATGAATAAGTATTTACAAGCTAGACCTTAACATAATTACAGGTGTCCAATCACTGTCCAATAATCTGTATCTCTCACAATGAAGGTGTTCATAGGATTAAAATACCAAAAAAAGGTGTTAAATTTACAAATACTTTTTCAGCTGATAACATAAAATGCATTTAATATCAAACACATTCTTTTAATAATCTTCATTAAGAAATATTATTAAATTAAGTAAAAACTGAAATGATAACTTATAGAAACTAGAACTCCGCGAGTCGGATGTGTCGCCTTGTGAACAATGTAGTTTAGGGGAAATGGCCAGGACAAAAATGAAATATGAAAAATAACAAAGGGCAATAACTAAAAAAATAATAAGTGCAGAGCAGCAGTTTCTGTACACTGCACTTCTTATCAATAAGATCTATCATTCTATGATGTTTCAAGTCCATAGCTTTCATACTTGAGGAGAAATGACCAGGACAAAAATAAAGTAAGAAAATCAACAAAGGGCAATAACTCAAAAATAAGAAATGCAGAGTATCAGTTCTTATGCACTGCACTTCTTTTTAATGAGATCTCTCATCCTATGAAGTTTCAAGTCCATAACTTTTATACTTTCGGAGAAATGGCCTGGACAAAAATTAAGTATGAAAATTAACAAAGGGCCATAACTCAAAAATTAAGAAATGCAGAGTACCGATTCTTGTGCACTGCATTTCTTAATAATGAGATCTATCATCCTATGAAGTTTCAAGTCCATAGCTTTTATACTTAAGGAGAAATGGCCCGGACAAAATTAAAGTATGAAAATTAACAAAGGGCAATAACTCAAAAAAATAAGAAATGCAGAGTACCAGTTCTTGTGCACTGCACTTCTTCTTAATGAGACCTATCATCCTATGAAGTTTCAAGTCCATGGCTTTTATACATTAGGAGAAATGGCCCGGACAAAAATAAAGTATGAAAAATTAACAAAGGGCAATAACTCAAAAATTAGGAAGTGCAGAGTACTGGTTCTTGTGCACTGCACTTCTTAATAATGAGATCTATCATCCTATTAAGTTTCAAGTCCATAGCTTTTTTAGTTGAAGAGAAATGGCCCGGACAAAATTTAAAGTATGAAAATTAACAAAGGGCAATAACTCAAAAAAATAAGAAACTGCAGAGTACAGGTCCTTGTGCACTGCACTTTCTGGTTATTGAAAGAGGCATGCATACCAAGTTTGAAGTCAATCCGACTTAATAGTGACTGAGTTATGCTCCGGACAAGCTTTAGGGGACGCCGACAACGACAACGACGCCGACAACGACAACGACGCCGACACAGACGCCGCCGCCGACAAAAGTAACCGCTATATGTCACCTTTTCAAGGCGACACAAAAATGGGGGAGAACTGTCTGCATATTTTAAATTTGGGAGAAAACCGTCAGGGGAGGAAACGGTTAGGGAGAGAGAACCGTCAGGGAGAGGAACTGGTTAGGGAGAGAGTAGTCTGTCATTCGTATTGACTGAAGATTTTTTTTTTTTAATGCGTTTATTTAAGGTTGTCGCCCGAAAGCCCATATTATGGGCGATCGTACACTCAAGTCGGCCATCATAGAGCGTCCCGCCGAGATTTTTTTCCAGCTTTATTGGTGGAGGAAGACCCCAGGTGCCCCTCCGGGCATTATTTCAGGCACGAGCAGGCACCTGGGTAGAACCACCGACCTTCCGTAAGCCAGCTGGATGGCTTCCTCACTAGTCCTAATTATAAGACCTATACGTTACCTATTTCATATTTATCATTCATTAATCTGATATATTTTACATTTTTCATTTTCCATGTTAGGTCTTAACAGCCCAAACAAAAAAATACATCAACAAATTATATCAAAATTGTGAATAAATCTGGAATAAATCATGTTTTCCTGATTTGTTAATACAATTTGTTCATGATTCATTATATGAATCATAAATAAATTGTGCTTTTACTGGAAAGAAAAGACCCCATTTATTATAGATTCATTACAAAAGACAGATTTATTAACCATTGATTACAAACATAAGATATATTCAATACAATTTATTGCAAATTCATTACACTTGAACTGGAATGTATACAATTTATTCATGATTTATTGGAAATAGAACTTTTCCCAAATGCATTTAATACCATTTATTACAAATTCATTACACTTTAAAGTTCTGAGATATTCACAAGTTGTTCATGATTCATTAAAATCAGAGATTTTTCAGGATTTATTCAATACAATTCATAACATATTCATTGTATTTCAGATGTTCATAATTTGCTTAATTATAACAGAAATTTTCATTGATGTAGGTCCTTTTGTTTTACTGTTCATAACAACTAAACCCCTCTCAACTATACAAATATATATTTTTTAATTTCCCTTTACTCATTACCGTACTTGTTTTTAATCAGTCACTGGAAAATATATATGGGTTTTTCAAGTCTCTTAGTTTAAGCATCACCATATTATTAATTCCATGCTCAGCGCAAAACGTAAAAAAAGAGTCAATTATACAATCTCGTTTTACTGTTAAATATGTCTAACTTATTTGCATGTAGATTTTATTTTTGAGTGATCAAGATCAGTTTTTGTCTTTCTCATTGTTAATACGCAATCTGATCCATACCCATGGCTTTTTATGATTAGATCTATCATTATCAGTAAAAAGTAAAAAAAACTGTCGAATAGATTAATGTATATGCGTAAAAAGGTAAAATGTCGTAAAAAAGCGACTTAATTCTCTCGGACTTAACATCTGTTGTTAGTTTATTGTTTTGAACAGCATGGCTCCCAGCCGCGCGATTAAACGATAAGATCTTGCAGGGAACTGCAGCCCCCTATCAGCCGACAACAGAACAAGATTAATAGGAAACGAAATTTTTTTGCCATTTCAGAAAAAAAGATATCTTACCATACAAACAGTTTTCTTTCTTTTGGATATAACTAATGTTAGAAACAAACTAACTTACAACAGATTTTGTCATTGCAGCTGCAAAATTAGGAACTTTATACAATACTATAGTAGCTAGGAATAACATTTCGTTTGCATTAATTCTATGCATAGGAAAAAGGCGGTTATTTTGGAAGATGAAAACTTGTGGTGTTACACAAAAATATGGATAAAAAACAATATCAAGGCATCTAGACTACTGATAGACGGTAAGTTCAAAATTTTCTTTTCGTTCTACATAGCGTTTTTAAAAACCTTCTAGATCTATATCAAAAAAATAAAATTTACTGGAGTAATGTGCAGATTAGGATAACGATCAATTCGCCCCATAACGACTCGCCCCATTTTAGTGACGATTCGTCCCACCCTAATGGCACCACCTTAAATTAAACATTTTTTATTCATTTGATTTGGATTGAGAGATATTTATGATACAAGTTTTAAAATATGCACGCATGTACATGCATTGTTTATGAGGATATCTATGTACAGCCCATTTTAAAAAAAATAAATCTGCATTGTTTCACACTGAGCTCATCTGCACATTTGAATGGGATGAAAAATGATGTTCTTTTTTATTTTAAGTGACTTCAGAAGACTATTTTTCTTTTACTTAGTTATCTCGCAGAAAACTGAAAGGAGCAGCAAAGAAAGGACAGAACGTAAAAATCAGCAACTCTGATGAGATGGTAGAAAGCAGATGAACGGGAGATAATAAAATGCAGATGGACGGCTTCTTTGATCGTGAAGAGTTTGCTATTAGTTATGGGACGAGGGCATTCCAAGGAAATGACATATATGAGTCTTTAAAGCGTAAGTATTGGGCTACATATATATTAATCATTTTAAAAATGACAATGTGCTTTTTAAATATTAAGTAAATGATAAAAAATAATAATTCTCAAACTGAATTTTGTTTATGTACATATAGTAATTCAATGTCATAGCCTTTCAATTTCGTTTTAAATTTAATTGAAGCAAATGGTAAAAAACTGGACTTGCTACAAAATATTTGTTCATTCCTCTGTTGAAAATGAAATCGAACATTCACCCGTTTGTTTTATGAACAAATATTTATCTATCACCAGACTTTGTGAAATATACTGCTGGTTTTTATTCAATAGAACATGTACAGTCCAAAGTGGTTGAGTTCTTTAGTGTATTTGGCTCGAGTTGAAATTCAAATTCAGATTGCATTGCAATTAAAACAAAAATATATTATATTTTTTTCAGAGTGATATGTCAGAAGTCTAAGTTTAAATTTTGATATTTTATTTATAGATATGATACTTTGTATGATAATTGTCTTTTCTATTTCAGAGTATGCCATTCATTGCCTCAGTATAGAGATTCAACATTTAATGATTATAGGAATAACAAAGGTGTAGCTCCACACAGACACTGAAAAGGAAGGCAAAGATGTTTTCAGACTGACATAAAGCCCTAGTTTCTAAAACTAGAAATATATTCCTAACAGCAAGCACGAATATTTCCAGAATTATTCCCCTTTACTTGTTTACCTGACATTACCTGTTTTAATTGGAGGGATATTTATGAAATGAGCTATGCACGTACATTATGAGTTTTCAATGTTATGATGTGTGGCATAGATTTTTTCACAAATTTTAATCTTGTTGTATGTTCTTGATTAATCTAGTCAGCTTTTGTTTGTAAAAAATAAAAGAAAAATAAATAAAATTTATCAAGATATGTCATTATTATTATTTTCATCTTTTTCTCCGAAATTGACACCATCATTGGAACCTGCATTTATTCAAAATCCATTAGATGAATATAAGCAGGCAAGCCTGATTTGTTAATGATTCATTAATACATTGAATTTCGGTTTATGGAAGAGGAATGAATACAATTTATTAGTGATTCATTAACAATTTATTTGCAATTCATTAATGAATCAGTTGGTCAGCGAACCTAATTTATTGCCAATTGATTGACCTGATTTGTTGATAATTCATTGACTAAGTCAAGAAAAGGACCAAATTCATTACCCATTTGTTAACCTGATTTATTAACAATTTATAAGTTGGTAAATGGACCCAATTCATTACCAATTCATTTCACTGATTTATTAACAATTTATTCATAATGCATTGGCTCATTTGCATGTCATTTCCATCTATAATAAATTGTGAATAAATGGTAAATTTGTTTATCATTTATTATACTGATTCATTCCTATCTTTTTTTTGTTTGGGAGATCTTTGCAAAATCATGTAGCAAAAAAATTGACATTAGACATCGATTTAGATCTAATGAATTTAAACAATTAAAACAGCGTGTATTTACATTAATTTTGACATATTTATTATTATTTATGAACAAAACTAAAAAATAAATACCTTTAAACAAAATAATTGAACTGTCACAACCGAAAAGTCATGATTAAATCCTCTCATTTAATTAAATTCTTTGTACAGCTGATATACAAATGGCCGCCATACAGTGCGCGAAATCTGATTGGCTAATTCAAATGCAAGCGTTTAAATGAGTCCAGAAGTTTCTAACGGAATATTTTTTCAACGAAATAATTGCCCATGCACCGTCAGTGTGTTCAAATATATTTTTCCGTTCAAAAAATTGGAATAAATCTGTAAAACGCTTTACTTAACCAGTATGGCCGATGAGCGAAATAGACTGATATTTATATTTTATTTTTAATTGATAAGTACATTGTTTTAAAGTTTTTGTTAATGATAGACCATGCAATTGAAAGAACAGAAGATAAGCTTTTGAATAAAGCTTGAAAGGCAAGTCAACAGACATTTTTTTAATTTTTCAAAATGCTACGCGTTTTTGAGCTAAACTATAAGACGTAAAGGCTTGACCAACATAAAACTATAACAAGCCTGTAACGTCTAATCTATTGGACTAGCTTCCTCACATGAAAGATTTCAACCCGAGTGAGGATCAAACCTACAGCGGTGAGGGACCTGTGATCTCAAGTCAGCGACCTTAACCACTCGGCCACGGAGGCCCCCAACTTTGACTGAAGAAAACGGAATGAACCTTATATATACTCCTGGTTTAGACCCCGGGGTCTAAATAATTTATCCAGGAGGATATAGCCGCCAGAACAATTTCTTGTTTTTGTTTAAATTATGTTATGCTTCTTTAACAAATAAGGAGAAGGTCTACCAATGTACTATTGCAAACCAATAATTTTATATATATTACACCATTAAAAGCTTTATTCAATCAGATGGATACCTTCCAAAATTATATTGAAAAATCCACTTTTATTTCTAACAATCCACTTCCGCCTTTCCTTCTGTGGTTATTTGCCCTTTTTAAACACAATAAAATCCGTAAGGGTATCCGGTATCCGTTTAACTACGAAAACGGCCCACTGAATTTTCGGGAAAAGAGTCAACTCGGCCCTATACCAACTCGGCACGGGTCAACTCGGCACGGGTCAACTCGGCCCACTTTACAAAAATATATAGGCCTATAACGTATTTACTTTGCTTTGCATGTTGTTAAAGTAAATGAATAATAAGAAATATCTTATTATTATTATATATAATTATACATTGTACCTCTGCTGAAATAAAGTATATTTAGAAAAAAAAAAAGTTATTTATTTGTCTTGCAGATTCGATGAAATTAATATAGACACAGGCACGATTATCGAACATGGGAAGAAAAAATATGAACAGATTGATATAATAACTTCATATTTTTTCTTCCCAGATCCGATACTTGTGCCTGTGAATATAGATATAATAAAAATGTGTTTCCTTAGATGCATTTTGTTTGTAAAGTTATTTTCAAAAAAATATGAAACAAAAACGTGTTTACTTAATAGCATAAGCTTCTAATTAATTGCAGGTGGTCACTAATCAAATTTGAATGAATGAGTCAATCATAATTATCACCTAATTAATCTGTATCTTTAACATACACATTGATTGATAATAATAGCCCGTGACAATAGGAGTCCTTTACCCATTTTTAATTTTCGTACTATATATCCTAATGTTAGTCCATCACATTTAAGGCTAAATTCTGGACAAAGCATATATGGTACCGAAATTTCATGGCCATTTCTTTAAACACCAATGCAGTCCAAGTAATTTAGCACAAAGAAAAAATACATTAGCCTTTGGAGTTTTTCTGCAGCTCTTAATTTTTGTAAATTTTAAAATATTTTTTTTAATTGTTATAACAACAGATCTTATATTTAGCTCCATGTTATAACTTGTGTATGCAGATATGGATACATTTGTTACTACATCTGTAACTTTAATCGCTCTTCAAAAACAGAATTTTTATTTTGTATTATTTTTCAACTGATACAAAAGTCCACTGTTTAAAGTATATATGTATATATGTATATTATTAGACGACTTATTTAAATTGAAACAAGATTTTTAGATTGAATTTTATTACCCGTGTATTGCGTGATATTACACAATTGGTATTGTACAATTCCCATGCTTATATTGATTGGAAGGAGGTAAGGTTCCAACAGATGGACATGTGACCGGCTGGGGTTTTTTGTTGTTGTTTTTTCTTCATCAAGCTTACAAATCATTTAACGGTGACGCTTTCAATAATATGACATTCCTAATAACTTTAATCAATGTTTGCAATTATTTTTGCGATGGGATGCATTCACCTAGATTTTGAAAATGTGTGACGATAAACCAGATAAAAATGTGTGAACCTATTTCGCTACTTATCTGGGAAATGGTTTATATAGCTTCTCAAAATTATGTAAAATTACCTAATTAAACACATCTATGTGTCTGCTTGGCATCACAGTCAAATCGGATAAAGGTAAACTGAATACTAAAGAGTAGAGACATGATTAATTATCAAAAAGCCTGACCTTTCTTCCAAAATTGATTAACTTCGATTTCACTTGTTATATAAATCCATTTATTTTTTATGATCTATTAAAATTTTCTAGAATAATAAAGTGAATATTTTTTTCATGATAAAAGTCTATTTCCACATTTTTACAACAAATATTTCAATGATTTTCAAGTCCTACGAATTCAATAGGCCACAAAGGTATAAAGGCAAATTTTGCTATTTTGTTAAAATCTATTTAATATAATATTTAACTTTTAACCGTCATGTAAAGTTTTCATAATTGTCTATGGACTTCAACTACATTTCTATGTAGGGCGATTATCTTCTGCCCTACGCAGATTGCACAAGCCCGAGGAGAGACTACATTCGGTAAATTTTTCATAGCAACAGATCTCGTTGTAAAATGGTCTCGATGTTGCTGTACATAAATATTGACTCCGTTGCGGCGCTGACATTGAAGCATTTATTCAAAGCACAGAAGGCGCTGAATTGGTTTGGACCTCAGAATGTCAGAAAGGTGAAGCAGGGTCTTTCTATTGTAAGACCCTGGGTGAAGGTTTTGAGATTATAAACCATTTTGTTTTTGTATAGTGCCACCAATACTTTCCAGTGTCTTAATTGTAGTAAATTGGATATAAGACTAATTGCAACACTGATACTCAATCCAATGTTTATTGGACTTAAACAATTTGAGTATGATTATTTGTTTGGGTCGTCAGACCAAACAAATAATGGTAGCGAAATTTCAGAGTCTAATGCTGTTAATTGCAAATGCCTAAAGTAGTCCACTTTTTTGAAGTGGTTACTTCCCTTTATATGTACACTAACGCCGAAAAATGCAGGGGAGATCAATGTGTAAAGAGTGTCAAATGACAGGCGCATTAATTTTCAAGCAAAGTAGTTCCCGAATGGTCGGAGATTTCTAATATTGTTTCATTCTTTATAGATATACATGCTTACAGTAAGCTCCATGATTATTTACATCTGTGTTAGCGTCGAAATAAAAAGTTACAAACCCTAATTTAGAATAATATGGTTTTCTTCAGACCGTTAACATATAACTTCACCGTGGCCGAGAGGTTTGCACGCTCTCTTATGAATCGAGAGGTCTGAAGTTCAAATCCCAGTTTAGGCAACTCATTTTTTTTTTTTAATTTTTTAAGTCAAATAAACATTGAATTGACTATCAGTGTTGCAATTAGTCTTAAAACCAATTTACTACAGTTAAAACACTGGAAAGCATTGGTGGCACTTTACAAAAACCAATTGGGTTATAATCTCACAACCTGCACCTTTCTGACATTCTGAGACCTAAACAAATTCAGCGCCTTCTGTGCTTTGATTTATAAATGTAGGCATTTTATGTTTTCATGATAGTTTCCACAACTCACTGAATCATAGACTATACACTTTTGTCCGGTGATTAGAGTATAAGAGCTCCTATACTTTACTGTACATTGTAATCATGCAGATCCTTTTATAAAACACAAAGATGGATGGATAATGAAAGGTGTGATTTTCTAACTAATAAGGCATAAATCGGAAGAAACATTTATTCGTGTTAAGTGTGAGCTAGGACTTTAAAATCGTAAGTCCCAGATATGAGACAAACCAAGAATAAATTGCTCGATTAATGTGAAAAAAAGTGTTTTTTTTTTCAAATTAATATTAATATTTTCCCGAGTGGTATTTGATGATTTATCAACGTATCAACGCTATGATGATCGTAATATTGACCATACTCAACTGTAGCGACTGGGGAGAAAGAACTCTGTTGTTTGTTTTTTACCAAAAGTGAAAATTCTTCATGGTCCTTCAAATACGAATTAGAGTGTACTGATTATAACAAATTTATTCATTCTTTTCTCTTCATTCAGTATTTTTTAACATTTTATTTTTGTAGCAAATTAATATAGTTAAAAACAATAAAAATATTTATAGATTGAAGAGAAAAAAACTAAAAAACCCAACTAATTTACAATTGAAACCTTCCATTCTGTAACAGAAACGGATGATCCTATGCAAAGAATTTTTTAACACAATAGTAAACTTGTATATTTGTAATTGGGTCCTATTCGGTTTATTTTATTGAATTTATTAAGTTAATTTATTTCATATCAATGACCCGATTGACTTATTATACATCAGAAACTAAAGTTAAGTTTATTGATTTCATATCAGTGAACAGAATAAAATTTACCTATTCCAGATCAATTACTCAAACTAAATTAAGTGTATTAATTTCATATCCATGACTCCATTTAATTTATTTATTTCAGAATAGTTGAATCATATTAATTAATGGGTCGAATTTAATTTACTAATTTCACTTCATTACGCAAAATGAGTCAAGTTTATTCATTAAATTTTTACATCAAAGACTCCAACAAAATAAAATTTACTGATTTCATTCAACTTTCCTGAAATGGTTGAATCCGTATCAATGACTCCAACTAAATTTACTTACTTATCATCAATTATTCAAACAATGCTAGTTTTATTTATACTTTGAAATTAAATTCAGTTTATTTATTTCATGTTAGTTATGCGAACTATGTTAGATCTAATCGACATATGTGCTTCAAATTAAATTCAGTTTAATGATGTTAAATCAATTCTCTAAGAAAGCCAACTTTATTTTTTCACATCACGTATACAACCTAAGTTAACATTGTTAATTCCAAGTCAATATCTTAATTAAGATTTATTCAAAACAATTTCTTAAACTTGTCTTCTCTGTACATCAATAACAGAAAATAAGATAAGTTTATTGATTACATATTAGTAACTCAAACTTATTCATAATTTAATCTATTTCGCACAAATTACTGAACATATGTTAAGATTTTTTTTATTTCACTTGAGCTACTCAAAGTAATTTAATGCTTTTCAATCAATTCTCAAACTAACCAAAGTTTATCAATTTCACATCGCGTACACAAATTATGTAAATTTTGTTTATTCCAAGTCAATTTCTTAAACTTAGTTTAGGTTATTCATTCTAAAAAATTTCTCAGACTAAGTTATTTTACTTTTTTTTTCACATCAATTTTCGAAAATAGGACAGCTCTATTAGTTTCACCTCAATTACTCAAACCAAGTTATAATTTTATTTATATTTCACACCAATTGTAAAAAATCAGTTATTTTATTTCACATAAGAACAGAACAGAACAGAACATATACTTTATTTCTGACTTGGGCTCAACACCCATCATCATAACATACATATACATGTATAATTATTACAATGCATGCGTCAAGAATCAAATCATAACAAATTCAATCAGTTATATTCAAATATTATGACATAGCTAACATATTGATGAGAAATGGCCAAAAATAAATTTCGTACATTAATAATATCATATTGATATTGCAAATCTACCAAAAATTGTTCTCGTCTTCAAAGCTTTAATTTACAAAATTAATGCCTAATTTTTCTTAATAACCCAATTTTTTCTATCTGC